CTTGTCTATAAATCAATCAATTAATCAATCATCAATATCAATATACAATATAAAATGCTACCTCAAGCATTAATTAAATTTTAATTTTTTATATTATTTTAATTAAAAAAATAAATTTGTTAAAAAAGAATATATATTATTTTTACATAAAAATATAATAAATGTGATTAATAATTTAGTTTAATTTTTTATATTTTCTTCAATTTCTTATCTTCTTAATTATTTTATCATTATTATTTTTAATTACATATAATGTATTAAGTTAAAGGTAGAGGAATAGAAATTGACTTTTATTAGGATAAGAACAAATTATAAAATTATAATGCATAATAATTGTTTGTGTAATATTAAATATTTTAAATGATTCAAATTTATTTTTACCGTTTAAATATTATATAACTTTTCTTTCCACCTTTCTTTTACATCAAAAATTTTATGTTGATGAATTAAAAAAAGATAGATGTACAAGAGCATGGAAAGTAAAAGGTTGTGAATATACAAAAATTCAATTATGATTCATTTAAATAATAAAAAATATAACTTCAATGAAAATTATTATATTATAATTGATAATGGAAGATTAAGAGGCACGTAATTAATAATATAATATACAAATGATAATTGTTGTGCTATTTGAATATTATTTTCAAAAACAATGATAAAGAAAGAAATTAAAATAATTTATTAACAATTTAAATATGATTTATCTCTATATTAATGCATAGTTGATAATGGAAGATCAAGAGTAATTAATAATGTAATGTATAAATGATAATTGTTGTATTATTTTAATATTAATTTCAAAAATAATAATAGAGAAAAGAAATTGAAATAATTTATTAACACTTTAAATATGATTTATCTCTATATTAATGTATGAGATAATATATAAAAAATGTAATTTATTATTTAATATTACTATTATTACTTCATTCAAAAATAGAAATACAAGCAAATATGAAAGACAAAAGGTTTGTATGAACAAAAATTTTTTAATGAATGTAATTTCAAATTTTCAATTACAATTATTATATCATGATTTAATAAAAAATATAATCTCAATTGTAATTATTATATTATGGTTTGTTATTGTAAATAAAAAGTACAACATGATATAAATAACGGTTATTGAATCCATTTTACAATTCAAAAATAAATAAATAAATAAATAATAAGTTTTTAAATTTCAATCAAATAAAAAGGATTATTATAACCAAAATTGATTTATGTCCAAGATGAACCACTAAAAACTGAGAAAAAACATAGATAAAACAAAAATGATAAGATTTAATGTTATAAAAGTGAAATAATCTCAAATTTTAATCATTTGAAAAAAATTTAAAACTCTAATTGACAATAATATAGAACCATAGTTTTTCAAAATGAAAGAAACAAAAAGTTTAGTTTAGGTTATAAAAATACAAAATTATTTTAATGCAAAAAATATATTTTGATACAATATGAATTCAAAAACATATTTTTTAATACATAATGTAAAAAAATTTCTAATAGAAAAATTATTATAAAATTTAAAAATTAATGATGTTTTTGTTTATTTAATTAACATTAAAAATACACATCAGCGGCACGTGTGATTTGCCACATACTTTCGTTGCTTTTGTCGCATCCTCTAAGTCGTAGGATGTATCATTTTTTAACTTAAAAATATATTTAATTGAGTTGAT